GAGATCCATCTCTGGCTGGTATGCCCCCTGTAGCCAAGGTTGCTGTCTCCCTGGCTACCTGGCTCTGACCCTTACAGGACAGGGAGGCTGGTGGGGAAGAGCAGATGCCCCACCTCCCAAGGCCCAGCCCCTCTTCCAGCTCCTGGACAGAGGGCAGAATCCCAGTACCAAAATCCCCTGGGGGACACAGTGAGCCAATTATTTTTTACTTCTCACCAAATCTGGAAGCAGTAGCCCTCCCAATGTGCAGAGTTGCGGGAGTTCAGTGCTCCCTGTATAACCATCCATGCAGTAGGGATGGGTGGGCTGCACGTGGGAACCCTAGCCTGGCTGCGCAGTAGCTCCAAATGTTGCAGGGCTGCCCTTGGCTCCCCTCATCTGAGACTTTGGCCTGGAGCTGCACCCACAGGCTCACAGATGGGCAAGGGCTCTACAGATGGGTGGACAGCCTGCACTCACGCCAAAGTTCTGAGACTGTCCTCAGTTGAAACAAAATGCAGTAGGTAGGGACTGTTCCTTTGACAGTGACTGGCACCTGCTACAGGCTAGTGTGGTCCAGAACCTAGCAAATGCTTGCCCTGTGTCTGAGAGGGACAGTGAGTGGAGGAGATAAGTAATGGAGTCTCAACCTGGACCATGGGAGCTCCCTGGCTGGCTCTGGCCTCTTGGTAAAGGGACTGTGCTGAAAACCTGCAGGGGGGACAGAGCCAATAACCATTCCACAAAGCTTTTTGTGGTTGTGCAAAGGCCCTGAGGCGGGAGCGTGCCTGACACACGAGGGGAACAGCAAGGACACTTAGGATGCAGAAGCCACCCAGGGTGAACAATGAGGGAGAGTTGAGAAGTGCTTGGGAGGCTATCCTGTGGTGCTGTGGGGACCTGGCCTCAGCAGGCATAAATCACCGGACATGAAAAAGCAAGGGGTGTCTTATGCCAACCCTCTTGGCACTGAAGCACCCAAGGACCTGATATAGTGATCCCACTTTGCCCCCAACCCAATATATATATGGTATTGATATATTTTACAGATGGGGAAACTGAGGTTTATGAGTCCCTATCCTCAAACCTCAAGCCAGCAGCCAGTTTGTCCCTAATGAAGATTCCTACCAACTGGTCTCCCTGCAGGTCACATGCTTGGTGTGGTGGGTGCTCATCACACTCTTGAGATAAAGGGCTGGGGACAGCCACAGGTCATCAGTCTGACATAACACATGATACACACACTCCCCAACGCTTGGCCTGGTGACTGCCACCAATCAGAGGGACACCAGTATTGGGGAGGTCAGAGTAGGATGCTGGGACCCTCAGGCACCCCAAAGGTAGTGGCAGACTGCAGTTTGTTGTGCTGGACTTAGGGAGAGGACCTGAGGCCTTGGGCTGTACCTCAGTGGCGAGCATTCTCCTGGTATGTGTAAGACCCTGGGCTCCACCCCAGTGCAAAAATGATGTCAGAGGAGCTTGTCAACAGCTATTAAACACCAGAGCCACCCTGTCCTGTGTAGCAGTGGCACCCTGAGCCCCAGGAGACACAGATGCATTGCCTGTCACTGGTTGTTCTAAGTTCCTTCTCTTGCTGGAATAAAGCACCCTGGCCAAAAGCAGGGTTTATTCATCTTAACAATTCCAAGTCATAGTTCATCACAGAGGGTAGAAACTCAGGGTAGAAACTAAAGAGAGGCTTGCTTGCTATTCCACATAGTATAAACCTCCAAGGACTGCAGCCAAAGAAGTACAGCAGGAACAATGGAGAATGCTGCTTGCTAGCTGGCTTGCAGGCTGGCTTATATACAACCAGCTTTCTTGCGTAGTTCAGGGCCACCTGCCGAGGGAATGGTGCCTTCCACGGTGGGGGTGGACCTGCCTACCTCAATTAACAATCAGGACAGTGCCCCGCAGACATGCCCATGAGCCAGTCTGATCTATGCAATTCTTCAGTTGAGACTTTTCCTGTCAGATGACTCTAGGTTGTGTCGAGTTTGGCAGTTAAAGCTAACCATAATACCTGAATATCATAGGATGGAGCTCCCTGACCTCTCAGTGTGGTGTCGCTTCTTTCTCTGATGGGAAACAGTCCATCTCCAGCATGGAGGTCATGGCCCTTAACCCTCCAGTAAGCAGGAAAGAAGTAGGCAAAGTGAGATCCTGCTGAAGGACACACAGACATACACACACAGACACACACAGACACAGACACAGACACACACACACATACACACACACACACACACACACACACACACACACACACACACACACTGGCCTCTTACAAGGGTGGGCTACAGAGGACAGACCTCCCCCCCATACTAGCTGCTTATGCTACCTCCTTCTCTGCTTAGAAAAGTGCCCTGGCAGGTTCCCATGCATGTTGGAGTTCCTAGCTGTTTTACACACCTATGGATTCCTAGAATCTCAATGGCATGACCTCAGGCAGCTCCATACCCTCTGTGAGACTCTGTTGTCCTCGCTGTTAATGGAAGCAATCCCAGAGCTGAGCACCTGGGGAGCACCTCTTCCCAGGAAAATTCCCCAAGGGATCCACCCCCACATCTCAAGGTCCCCTGAGACCATTTGGTGGGATGAGTCAAAATACCCATAAGGTTCCTGCTGGAAAGGGAAGCAGCTTAGCCAGCCCCTCAGCTCCCCCAGAGCAGCTGCACCAGCATCAACACCAACACCAGCCCATCTGCCTGCCTGGAACCTTCCCAGGGCTAGGAGAGATTGACTAGGATAGGGAGGAAAGTTTCCACCCACTGTGGACCATCCTCTTGTCCTAAAGCTGGGAAGGGAGGAGTAGAACTGGGCTGTGCAACTCCACGGTCACTCTGTGTCCACCATGATGTGGTATAGAGCTGAGATGGTATGGATACCCCCTGCCTTAGACATGGCCCACACACAAGGCTTGCAAATGTGCCTTTCTCCACATAGTCCCAGGACCTTTGCTTTATCTGTGTGGATCACTGTGTGCTCCCCAGATCCAGGGCTTGGTAGGTGAGCCTGAGCATGAGTCCTTTACTATATGGTGGCTTATGCTTATAATCCCAGCACCCAAGAGGCTGAAACAGGAGGAATGATAGGAATTCAAAGCTAACTTGACCTAAATGCTGGGTTTCAGACCAGCCTGAGCTACTGAATGAGACCCTCTCTCAGAAAGCAAAAATTTGACATCAATATGGTGATGCACACCTGAAATCCCAGCACCTAAGAGGCTGAGACCCTGGAGGTTGAGGCCAACCTGAGCTACAGAGTGAGTTCCAGGCTAGGCTTGGACCTTGAGACCTTGTCTCAAATGAACAGGCAAATAAACAGAGAAAAGCTGACCCATGTGTGGACTCCTCTGCCTCCCAAGTGTGTCCTAGTTCCCAGAACAGAACTGGATAATGGGCTGGGTTAGGATTCCTTCCTTTGGTTGTCCTGGGAGAGTGTCCTCAAAGAATGTCCATGGTGGACTTTAGGGAACCCAGTATCCATGCTCTAACACAGGACCTCATGTCAGGGCTCTTTCCCACCCGATAGCCACTGCAGGTTGTGCTGAGATCAGAAGTGACATGCTTAGCCATGTCCAGAAGATGCAGCCTCCACTTCCTGTGATGCATGGAGTGAGAACAAGCCTCTGCTCCTCCTCAGCGTGGCTACAGTTTCAGCTTCTGTGTAGGCTATGTGCTTTATTTGCTCAGACCAATCGGAGTTCAGACCCTCACACCAACGGGTTGGTGTTTGCAGGAAGTGTGGGTTACAGACGCTCCAGAAGGCACTCCAGCTGCAGCTGCTGTGTGATCCTGCAGCAGGAGGCTGGCCTGGACCCCTGCAACTGGGAACTCAGCAGGCACTGCCTAGGAGAGGCTGGCCTGGAGCAAGGGCAGAAAGGCCTGTATGTCCATGCTTCAGGCACTCCCGTTTTCCAGTAAGAATACCAAGGAAACACCATCCCCCCCAACTCCACAAAGTAGACACTGACTTCATCTCTAAAGCTGTGCCCTCCCTCACCTTCCTGCTCTGTGGCCCATCTCAAGCCTCCAGTCTTGCCAAGTAGGGAGGGTGTGGGAAATTCGGTGGGCCCTGTGTTGGAGCCAGGCATCCATGTAATGAGAGCCTGTGTGGAGTAGGTTGGCCCTCTTTGCTGTGTGTACAGGCAGTCTCATCCTCCCTGGGCTTCTGTTGCCCTGCCTATGAAATGGAGATTGGAAAAACCCTTTCCTTTCCTATCCTTATCATCTACCAAGCACAGGCTGGGAGGGTTAGATAAGCTGACTTCTTGCCTGGGGCACAAGCTGTGCTGCCAGAATGTGGTCTCCCCTCCGACACTGACCAGTCCTGGGAATTTGACCTTGGACGGGTCTCTGTACTTGGCAGCCCAGCTTGGAGGTCATGATGGCTAGCAGTGATGCTCCCCAGAGGAGGCAGGCAAAGCTTCCTCCTTCCTTGAAAGCAAGCAAACGGATGGTGATGAGGTTGGAGAGGGAGAAGGACCAGATGAGTAGTGGAGCAGTGGGCACCCATCTTAGGTGTAGTGGAGTGTCTTCAAAGTGTGAGGGCCAAGACACCCAGCACCCATGTGCTCAGTACACGGTGCTGGTGTGCATCCCTCCCAGAGGACTCCCTGACCCCAGCAGTAGCACAAAGCATGACTGGCTAGGTGAGACCCTGTGCTCCTGCTCTCCAGCCTTTACCTTCCCATGGGATCTGGGAAGCTGTGTGTGGACAGCACTCTGTCCCTGATGTCCTGGTATCAACGGGACCTGACAGCAGAGTCCCAGGGCAACAGACCCCCCACCCAAGAGACTCTGAGAAAAGGCGCCTGCTTGGCAGCTTTGGATCAGGAAATCCCGGCTGGCAGGATGCCACCACCTCCCTGCCACCCTGATCCGTCACCAGCCAGACATATTTCGGATCCTTGCCAGGCAAGGGGGAGGGGTGCCGGGGGAGGGATGCACCCAGCCCCCCTGCTCCATGCCATCCTTGCTGCTGCCTGTGTGTAATTAACAGAGTAATTAAAAACAGGATGAGTTAATTGGTATTCATTTATGTGGCAGATGTTTTTAATTGAGGCAGGAAACAATTTACCTGTTTACATAAACAATGGCAAAGGCAGGCTTGTAAAACACATTTTAAAAAAATTTTTCCTCCCCCTGCCTAAAAAGAAGAATCGAAACCACTGGGTCTCCCCTGTGCAGCCCTGGCCTCACAGTAAGTGTGGGAGTCCTGCAGTGGGAGGGCGGGCGGCTCTGGCCTGCCAGGAGGAAACATCTGTTTGCCGGTTGCTTCCAGCGAAGGCTGTTTCCTTAAATTCTGAGAAAGGATGTGTTGTTCCTAGGTTGTGGGAGCCTGCTTGGGGTGACAGCTGTCCAGGCCACTGTGGTCATCGGGAGGCCTGGCAAAGCGAGGTCCAGACGGATCTAGCTAACCCTCTGGGCTTGCACTGTTAGTGACACTGTCGTACACGAGTCTGTGTAGTGGGCTGCCATGCTTCTCGTGTGGTGACTGAAATTTAGAGTGAAATAAAAAGTTTAAATTCAGTTCCCCTTTCATAGCCACCTGTCAAATGCTCTCGGGCACTGGAATGTACATTCCTCCATCACAAGGACTTGGAGCACGAGGACTCAGTGACACCGCTGGGGAGGGCACAGAGAGCTGGCACATGAGAAAACCTGCACTCCAGAAGTTGCCCAATTCCAGTGACACAGATTAAGTACTTACTGTATGTCTGGCCTGCTTTTCACTTTGTGACATGTTAATTACTCTAATTCTATATGGTGTTCCCGTGGTAATTCTCAAAAGGGCTAGGATGATCCCATTGCAGTGCAGGGCTGGGTTCTGAGCTCCATGGCTACACTGGAAAACACCTTGGCTTTGTTGGGTGGAGAAATGCCTATGTTAGAGCAGTTGACTTGGAGACACTTGGTTTAGGGAGTTTGGTTGATTTTGTTTTGTTTGAGACAAGTTCTCACTATGTAGTCCTAGCTACCCTGGAACTCACTCTGTAGACCAGGCTGGCCTCAAACGCATGAAGATCTACCTGCCTCTGCCTCCTGGTGCTGGGATTAAAGGCTGCACCACCACAAACTGCTTTGGTTTTCTTTTCTTTTCTTTTTCTTTTTCTTTTTTAAGAGTATACATGGGCCGGGCAGCGGTGGCGCACGCCTTTAATCCTAATACTCGGGAGGCAATGCCAGGAGGATCTCTGTGAGTTCAAGGCCAGCCTGGGCTACAGAGCGAGATCCAGGACAGGCACCAAAACTACACAGAGAAACTTTGTCTTGAAAAACCAAAAATCAAAAAAAAAAAGAGTATACATGACTGAAATTGCACTTAGCTACTTAGCTAGAAATACCAGAAACACCCCAGGAGGGCGCAGGAACTGTTTGCTGAGCAGAGATTGGTGGAATGAACTGGGATGCTGTCCTTGTATCAAAATACGAACCCTGGAGTCACGTGCCCAGCTTACTCACATCTGCTTGCTTCCTCGTGCTTCTTCACCTGTAAAGCAGATAAGTGACAAGACTCAGAGGCAGTGTCTGAGGTGACACATTTACCCTAGCCGGAGCAGGCAGCAAATCCTCAAAATGGTCTTTTCACAGATGTCAAGGGCAGAGAGGCCCTGAAGCTCCCAAGGCGCCCTGGTGGAGAATCTGGGCTTTTGGAGACCTTCAGTTGGGATTTTGCAGATCTTTGGGGGACAGTTCTTAGGGCAGGGTAGAGGATAGAATGTTCTGGAATCCATCAGGCATGAAGGCTTTAATCAGAGAAAGTGCCCCAGAGCTCTAGCTTGGGGTGGCAGAGGGTGTGGTCCTCCCTCCCTGGGTCACCTTGACTCCAGGCTTCATAGCCTAAGGCTTACCTGGAAAGCCAGCCACAGCTCTTATGTGTTGTTTGCTTGTTGGGGATGTAGGGTCATGCCTGTGGAAGTCAGAAGACAGTGTATGGGAGTCAAGCCTCTCCTCCTACTAGTTCTGGAGTTGGAACTCAGAACATAAGACATGGGCGCAGAGTGTTTTTATCTACTGGGACATCTCACCAGCCCACAGCCATAGATTTTTTTAGGTCATCCAGAGGACAGCACAGTGGACAACAGCCGGGGGGGGGGGGCAGTCTGGGCCGATAGCTGAGTGGCCTCAGAAGAATGCCAAACTTTCAGAGTACATGACTAGGGCCTGCCCAAGGCTATAAGCCCTGACCTCAGCAGTAGTGTCCTGACAAGCCCCCAGCAAAGGCCTAGACCCACATGGCTTCCCTGGAGTCTTCTGACAGCCTGTGGCCTTCCTCTGCAAGGCAGAAGAATCACGAGTTCCCTTTGATGTGGGCTCAGACCCAGGTCTTAGGCCTGGGCCTTGCTGGGCCTTCTCGGGGCAGCCCTGTGCCTTAGTTATGGAAGAACAGAATGATCCAGAGGCTCTCACCTTGGCAAGATAGGAGAGAGAAAGCCATAGGCCTGTCCCTTCCAGACTCTGAGGAGCTGCTGGGCTTCCCACAGTGGGCATCAGGTTGGTACCATATGGGGCTGACTCTGCACCATCCACAGCAGCTTACAGGACACCTGTGCACCAGAGGAAACAAGGCAGAGAAGCCCTAGAAGTGAGATACCCTGTCCACCCTCCTCTGCCCACCCCACCCTCCCAGGGCATTTGTTACTTATCCTGAGACCAGGTGCATCACATACCTCCTCGGTTGAGGGCGGAAGCCTGAGGTCTCCCTCTGTGGTCTCTAAAGCCCTGTCTTCCATGTGTATAACCTGTCCATCATGGTATCACTGGAGTGAGTAAGGAAGAGCATTCTCCATGGGACCCTCATGAACGACCACTGGTCCCTGGTTATTGTTTAGCATCCAGGTGAGCAGTGTTGTGATTGTAACTTTGCAGCATGCCTCCGCGGGTTCGAGGTGGTGTGAGAACCCTGGGAATCTGCCGGACCCAGGGCTCCTTGCTCTGCTAGCACAGGGAAGTCCTGCTGCCGGCTTGTGTTTCAGACTCTTTGCTAGCCTTTTCTCAGGGCTCAGGTACTGCCCTGCCCTGGGCTGTCACAGGGCTGGGTGTCACCACTGAAGTCAGGTGGGACCAATTCACACCTCAGCGATGGCAAGGGAGTTCCTGAGGTTTGTCAGCTCCCTGTTTGGTTTTCCTTTAAAGGATCTGCTGTCATGTTTCTGGTTTGCCGTTGGTCAGTTGTGGCTTTGTTGTTGTTTATTTCTTCGTTTTGAATTTCTGGCAGTTGAACTCAGAGCCTTGTACATGCTTGTACTCTACTACTGAGCCTTAGCTACTTATTTATTTGAGACAAGCCTTGACTGTGTAGCTCTGACTGGCTTGAAATGCGCTGGGTAAACTAGGCAGGCTGTGAACTCACAGAGATCTTCCTGCCTCTGCCGTCTGAGGGCTGGGATTAGAGGTGTGTAGCACCACACCTGGCCTGTTTGTTTGTTTTTTAATATTATTCTGTGTGTGTGTGTGTGTGTGTGTGTGTGTGTGTGTGTGTGTGTGTGTGTGTGTATGAGAGAGAGAGAGAGAGAGACACACACACACACACACACACACACACACACACACACACACACACACACGTGTGAGTGCCGTATGCGTATAGGTGCCCGAAGAAGCCAGAAGGGAATGTCAGGTCCTCGGAGGTGGCTGTGAACTGTCCGAGATGGTGCTCTTTCCTCTGAGCCGTCTAGTCTCTCCAGCCTCCCGGCTCTCTTTTTTTTTTTCTTTTAACTTTCTGTTTTGAGACAAGGTCTCACTAAGTTGCCCAGGCTGGTTTTGAGCTTGCATTCCTTCAGCCCAGATGTCCCAGGTGACTGGGGTTGCAAGACTGCGCCGACAGGCCCCACTTCCAGTGCTGTACTTGTTTAGTGATTTAAAAATGTGTATTTCATTTTTAAGATTTATGATGTTTAATTATGTAGAGGAGGGGGTGTGAATGTGATTACAGGCACCTGCAAAGGACAGAGACGTCTGAGCCTCCTGGAACTGGACTTATGGGCTGTTCTGAGCCACTTGACATGGGTGGGAATCAAACTCGGGTCCCCTGCAAGAGAAGTGTGTTCCCTTAAGCCGTCTTCCATCTGAGCCATCGTTCAGCCCGTTTAGTGACTCTTGTGGTGACTTGTAGTTCTCTGTTGTCACTGTCTCCCCGCGGCCTCGAGCCCAGCAGAGCTCATTCCTCCTCTACCGCCCAGAGGTGACCCAGGCTTGGCACTGCTGATGACGCTGTGAACTGTAACAGTAAGTCAAGGACTATTTAATACAGATCAAGGACAGCCGGGAGGCAGAGAGAAGGAGGTGCCCTTCTCACCTGTACTTTTCAGAAGCGGCCTCTCCCTCCTTGCAGAAACATCACACGTACACATGAGGTCACCTTGTGACTAGGTGTTGTACCTTCTCCCTAGGTCACATACCCTTCACTAGAGAAGATGTACATGTACACACCAGCCCCCACAACCAGGGCAGGCATGCTCATACACACACACACACACACACACACACACACACACACACACACACACACACACAGAAGCACCATGTATGCACAGATGCATTCATACACTCACACTCGTGAGTGTGCATGCACGCGTGCTACAGTGTGCATGTAGACGTAAGAGAGCAATCTCAGGTGTCAGCAGTCCTAAGCTTCCTTCCACTTTGCTTGAGCCTGGGTCTCTCTTCTGACAGGACATCATCAGGCTAGCCATCCACAAGCTTCTGAGGTTATCTTGCCCCCACCTCCCATCCTACCATAGGAACACCAAGATGGAAGACACGTGTTACCACTTCTAGATCTGAACTCAGATTTTCATGCTTGTACATCAAGGACCTGACTCAGTGAGCCATCTCTCCTGCTCCACATTTTTCTTGACTGATGGCTTTTTGCATGTCCCCCTGCTGAACGACTTGGTCCTGGTCTCTTTGAGGGACATGGTGAGGCACACTCCCTAAGTACCCAATGACACCCTAGCCAGGGGGCTGTCTCTGCCAGTGAGGCAGGTGTGAAGTACCCAGGTAGTCATAACCCAACCTCCGTTATCATTGCCATTTGTATCTAATAAACTGTGCCAGGCTGCAATGGTGACTTCTTGGTGTCACGGAGGGGAGGGTTCAGATCCATCCATGCCCCTTTGCATGCCAGGACCCACGCAGAGTTGAGGGGTCCCTTCCCCGTGTCCTTCTCTTAGCCTGGCAGCCTCCCCTGGCAGTGGGCAGCCCAGATGGTGGAGCACCTCCCCCACGGCTCTCTGGGAGTTGTTGGCTGCGCAGCCCCAGCAGCTGGGAGAGGAATGTGTTTCCTTTGCAAGCCGGCCGCAGGGTGAGTGGGCCTGGACATCTGGATCCCATTTGCAGCCCGGAGGACAGCATGGAAGGCTTTGATTCCAGTGTTCCCCACCCTCCCTGACTTTAACTCTGTTTGGCCCAGGGTGCTGTGAGAACTGAGCATGCCCGGGTTCTGGGTGCTCTCATAGGCTGGGCCAAGGGCTCTGGCATCTTCTTTGGAAGATTCTGACCTCGGATTCTTGTTCTGGAAGCGTTACATCACGGCCTCCTGCCCAGGAGTGTCACCCCATGTTGCCTGTGCTCCATTTTCTCCACATGTTTTTGTCTGCAATGGAGGTGCACACTGTCATCTGGATGAGTTTTCCCTCGTGGCCCACTTCGCTGTATCAGTGAATGGCACTTGTGGCGTGTTTGGAAGTAAAGAACTTGGGGTATAGCCACACAGAGAAAAACACAGTCTAAAGACAACTCACTGTACCCACATATACACAGACATTACCTGATGGGTCCCTCCTGTCCTGGGAAAGTACCTTCCTGACTTTGAACACCATACTAGGCTGTTGACACACTCCATACACAGGGCCCTTCAGGGTGTGTTCTTGGGAGCCTGACTTCTTCGCTCAGCTGTGTTTCTGAGATGGAGCCAATGCCATGCTTTGTTGTATGTCCCTTTCTCATTGTGGTGAAGTTTTCTGGTTTTCTGCTGTGTGGATATATCACAATTTTTTTTTCAAGACAGGGTTTCTCTGTGTAGTCCTGACTGTCCTGGAACTAGCTCTGTAGACCAGGCGGGCCTCAAACACACAGAGATCTGCCTGCCTCTGCCTCCCAAGTGCTGGGATTAAAGGCGTGTGTCACCACCACCACCACCACCACCACCACCATGTTAAGATTGGCAGATGCTGATCCGTGGGTTTCCAATGTAAATAAATGTCCCAGTCAGTGATAGGTGTGTAACAAACTACCCCAGACTGAGTGCTATGGAGCCACCACTGACCTCCAGCAGGGGGCACCTCAGGTGAGCTCCATAGACAGCTCATCTGCCCTCAGCTGCTAGTGTGGGAATTTTCTCCTGGGGAAAATGAGCCATAGAATCTGTTGGGCTTATTTACAGAGTCTGCGTGAGGGTTGCAGGCAGAGGCATAGCTGTACCAAAACAGCTGCAGTGGAATGTCTGCCTCCGGCATGGATGAGAACTCCCTGCAGCTACATAGATCAAAGGCCCTTTCCCTAGTGTTCCCCAGCCTATGTACTCTAGCACCCATCCTACCCTGGGGTGCAATTAGGGCAGGACGGCATACAGATGGCTGGGAGGAGTGACTAGAACATCAGATGAGGGGCCATGACCCCCCCACCCCTTCCTTCTCTGAGGAAATGTCAGTAGTCCCCAGGACTCTGGCAAATCAGGCACAGCTGATCTGCTGAAGATGGCGGCTATTTTGCCCAGAGGGTAGTACAACAGCAGGCCTTGCCCTCGGCTCTATGGTTGGCCTGGCAAGGGCTGCAGCTCTGTTGAGTGCGAGGCATTCTGGTGACTGTGTCCGCTGGAACAGCTCCATCCATGTGTGTGTCATGCCCCCAAGTGGCCTGAGCCTGTTCACACACAGTCCCATTAGGGAGCAGGTGGGGCTGGCGACAGGTGACACCAAGCTGTATTGTCTCACATCTCTTTCACTACATCCTATTGGCCACAGCAGGTCTGGGGCTAGCCCTGTTCAAAGGACAGCTAGTGGACTCACCTCTCCAGAATGAGCTGGGGTGGGGTTGGGAGGAGGATGGGGATGTGTAAGGTGGGGCTGATATAGCAGCCACCTTGCAGGAGAATCTGCAGTGACCAGTTCTGGCACACGTTGAGCTCCAGACAGAGGACCAATTCAGTGTCTCAGTCGTCATGAGGAGGGATTCTGTTCCCTACTTCAAGCATGAGAGGGGCTGCTTGCTAAGCTTACCCAGTGGAGAGACAGGTTCCCCAGTCAGCTGAGCCAGTGAGCTGGTGCGGGGCAGCAGAGGAAGCGGGGTGTGTGGGGGTGGGGTGGGGGGTGCATTGTAGTAAGCCAGTCACTCAGTGTCAGGCCGTATGCTGGGCTCTGCCCGGGGATGGGAGAGGACCGGCATCCATGATAGTTTGTATACTAAGAGGTGCTCTGGAGAAAGTGAAGCATATGGTAAGGGAGGAAGTGTAGTGATGGGGCGGGCTGTGGGCCCACTCTGACCAATGAGGAGACAGCTGGAGTGATGGGGCGGGCTGTGGGCCCACTCTGACCAATGAGGAGACAGCTGGAGTGATGGGGCGGGCTGTGGGCCCACTCTGACCAATGAGGAGATAGCTGGAGGGGGTGTCCTGCATGTAAAGGTGGCAGAGGAAGGATGTGGTATGATGTGGAGTGACCAGAGCAGGTGATATCATAGCTCTGTGCCTCAGTTTCCCCATATGTAAATGGAGTCCTGACACCCACAGGTTTATCATGTGAAATGGGGGAGGGTGTCATTCCAAAGCCCAGGTTAGCACAGTGGCTCTCTGCAAAGGGGAGCCAGCCTGACAGGGCAGGTTGCATATGCATGCTGAGAACAGCCTTCCTCTGTGACCCCCACTCTGCCCTCATGGGCCCACATGTAGAACCATGTGTCTTACTCACATGTCTTAGGTACTTATTCTAGATGCTTCTCCTCTTTTTCTTCTGTTCCAGTGGTGACTGCACCCAGGGCCTTGCACATTCTAGGCAAGGGCTCTTCCACTGAGCTGCCTCCCGGGTCATTTCTGTACCTCTTGCTCTGGAGACAGGGGCTTGTTGCTAAGTTGCCCAAGCCGGCCTAAAACTTGCAACCCTCCCCATTTTGTAGCAAGAAAACTGAAGCTCAGTGTAGGAAGAGAAAAGGCCAGCAATGTTCCCAGCATAAGCTGGAACTGGAGCTGCCCATTCCCTGTCTGCTTCTTGTCCTCCAGGACTCTAAAGATAAGGAAGAGACCCAGACCCAGCCTCCCACTGCAGGAACCATAGAAGACTCAGTCCATGAAACTCTTTTGCATTTGCTGTCTCAACTAGTCCCACCCCAAAACGTGCTCCCATTTTGGTGGTGGGCACTAAGGTTCAGTCATTTAGGAAATCCCCTAGTTTTCACAGCTGGAGTAGGAACCAGGTCTTTTGCCTTCCAGCCCTCCGCTGTTGCCATGGCAACCTTATGCCTTTCATTGTCACCATGGACCGGGGATCATGGGGTTCTTGGGTCCTTCTTGAGGTGACCCAGTGCTGGACTGCAGGAAGAGCAGTGGCAGGCAGAGTTCAGACCAGAGACATGTCCCTGACTGAGACCTCCGAGAAGAAGGCAGGGCCACGCAGGACCAACCCTGCTTGATTCAGGTCCTGTCACCACTGGGGCAGGAGTGCTGCCTGGCCAATGGAGCATAGAGCAGGAAACACTAATCCCTGTATTTTTGTATTATTACTTATTCATGGCGGTGGAGACTGATGGAGACCAGATGTGGGAAGCCACTAGAGCAGACACCTGGGACTCATTAGGGCTGCATCCCACCCACTTCCCAAGTTCCCTGCCTGAGGGATCAAAGCTGAGTGCCTCTGATCCTAGCCTTGGACAGGACAGGATGGAGCTCCACCCCCAGGTCAGAGTACCCCCCTAGACATGGAATCACCCAAAGGAAGCCCTCAACTCTTTGCTGTGTCTTGGGCCTGAGAGTCCATATGTAACCCAGCCCTTTGCTGGAGAAAGCAGTCCTTTGCTGGAGGTCAGGGCCCAAGTTCCCTCTGTGTGTACCACAGGGGAGCTCCAGAAGAGGGCCATGTCCCCTGGAAGTTCGTCCTGGGTTGAAAATATGGCAGTCTTACATGAGCCCTCTAGTGACTCCAGATGCTGTAGCTAGGCCTCGATGTCCAGGACAGGAGCCAGCACTAAGACTGGGCCCTGGCAGAGGATGGGGGATGGGAAGGACAGGCTAATGCCTGCTACATCAGTGGCCTCAAAGGACTTGTACATGCCCCTCATGGCTATTTATCCCCCCCTACACAGCTGCCCCCCATGGCTGTGCTGCCCATCAACCAACCCCTCTCATTTTAAAGGGCCCATCTGAATGGTAGGCAGCTGGAAAACCCTCAGGACCAGGATAGCTGGGACATATCCATGATGCATACGCTGTGGCTCTGAGCATTCAAGGAAGGCAACCCTGTCAACATGGAGCTGCGGTTCTCTAGTGGCCCCCTTTTGTCCCCAGCCTGTGCTCAGAGGTGGTCACAGGGATCTCCACATCTCCCATCACATCGCCATGATGGTCCTACGAGGCTCCTGAAGTGAATCTTTGCTGTGTGGCTTCACTCTCTGTCACTTTCACACATATCTGGACTCACTATTCACTGCTTTGCTTGTGTGTGCAAAGGACGAGAGATGTTGGAGGCAGAGGCAGGTGGATCTCTGAGTTCAAGGCCAGCCTGGCCTACAGAGTGAGTCCCAAGATGGCCAGGGCTACACAGAGAAACCCTGTCTCAGGTGATGGGTGGCGGGGAGGGAGGATGAGAGATGTCTGAGTTTGTTGTTTAGCTTGTGAGGGTATCAGGTTATTTGTGATTAAACGGGGCTGTTGGTCCCCAGGGTTGAAAGACATTTTATTTTTTATTACGTTTATTTATGTAGTGTATGTGTGTGGGGACACATTCCAGGATATGTGTGTGGAGGTCAGAGGACAACTTATCCACCATGTGGGTTCTGGGATTCAGTCGAACTCAGGTTGTCAGGTCTGGTGGCAAGCACCTCTACCCACTGAGCCATCTTGCCAGCCTTGCAAAGCCATTTAAAATGGAGATCTCTAAATGGATGGATGGGTGAATGAGTCAATGGATGATAGATAGATGGGTGGATAGTGTATGTGTGATGTGTGCATGGATTAATGGATGGGTGCTGGGTAGGTAAATGAGGGGTGAATGGATGGAAAAGTGGATGGGTGGATAGTGGGGATGGATGGGTGGATGGATGATGTATGGGTGGATGATGGACAGATGGGTGATGGTGGGTGGATGGATGGATGGATGGATGGATGATGGATGTAAACTCTGCCAGAGACACTCCAGTAGTCTATGTGGAAGCATCCAAATGCTGAAGCATTCCAAAGAGCCTCACAGTCTGCGGCCTCTGACAGTCATGTGAACCCCCCACCTCTCAGTTTTCCCATCTTTCCCATGGGAATGGTGTTGCCCAACTTCCAGGAACCTCTGGGGAGCAGATTCATTAAAACAAAACAAGACCGCAGTGTGACAAAGCTATGAAGGATGAGGTTGACAATGAAAGGCTGGAGAAGGTAGCATTTCCACAGAGGGACACTAGCCAGTGCAAAGGCCCTGGGGCAGGAGCATCTGAGGCTAGAGAGTGAGACTGGACAGTGAGGGCAGAGGGGACAGTCAGTTTTAAGTGGCAGGCAGGGAACATGTCCTGGAAGGTTAGCCGACCCTGCTGAATATGAGGAAATCCAGTCATGTGGGTTTACCTTGGCCTTGGTGGCATAGTGTTGGACCACTGCCCAGCCAAATGTAGAGGCTGGAATCCAGAGATAAAGGCTCTGTGCTCCTTACCCACTGTGTGGCATTGCAGTGACCTCAAGTGATCTTGAGTATTGGGACAGTCTGACCAGGTTATGAGGATGCAGTGGGGTGATCTCAGCTTCACAAGGCCACTTCTTTTTGCCCATTTCACGTTTCCTACAGAATGATATAGTTTCTCTCTGTCTCGGTCTCTCTCTTTCTCTCTGTTTGTGGGTATGGATGGGTGTAGGGAAGGGGTTCGCATGCACATGCTTGTGGAGGCCAAAGGACAGCCTTGAGTGTTATATCAGGTACCTTTCGCCCTTTTTGTTGTTGTTGAAACAGGGTCTTCATTGGCCTGAAACTTGCTGAGTAGACTATTCTGGCTGGCCAGCAAGCCCCAGAAACCCTGTCTTCTACCTCCTCAGTGCTGGAGTTACAAGAACATGCCTCCATGCCCAGTTTTTCACATGGGTGCTGGGGATTGAACTCTGATCCTATGTTTGAGCCCCAGCACCAACTTATCCATATCCTCAGCCCTAGAACACAGTAGTTTCATGACGGAAGGAGAAAATAGCCATTGCTAGCACACATCTCTCATCCGATGACGTGCCATACACCTTTGATTTCCACTGTGGTCCCCAAATTACAGATGTGGAAACAGAGTGCCCTCCTGGGTCAGTGTCCTGAGTCTGAGCCCATCCTCTCCAAGTGCCCTTTGTTCTGCTTTGATTGAGGACTTGTTGCTTTGGGGGACACTGGGTCCCCCCAGTATGTGAGGGGTTGGCTGCCCTTGCAGAGGAGATGCCTAGACCTGGGGGCCTTGGTACCTTTCAGGCCTCTCCCTGACATCCATGTGCCTTTGAGCCTCTACCTGCCTGTGGTCAGCCCAGAAAGAGAGAGGCAGCCTGGCCCCTTCAGCGGCCCTGTCCAGTCTCCACATGTGAGTGTGTTCCAAGACTCCATTGAGAAGGAACCTCACATTTGACCTCCTGGAGTGGAGGCCCATCTCCCTACCTTGCCATGGCTCAGTTTCCTTGTCTGCTGACCTCATGGATTTATGGTGGGTACAGCAGGAGATGAAGAACACAGAGCACTCAGGTCAGGGCCAGAGTCTCAGGCCTGACTTTGTGATCACACTGTTACCTCCAAGACCTGTTGATACACAGAGACCTAGGTCACTGCAGAGGTCAGTCTGGCTATGCTGGGCAAACCAGGCTCTGAATTTTCTAGGGATATAAAGGTCTGAAGTGACCCAGCCAGAAAGAGGGGCAGCTCCATGCTGGGCCTAGGCCAGTTCCCAGCTAGGAGGGCGGGCTGGGAATCACAGCCGATGGGGACAGTGATGGATGGAGTGGCCTGTTCCGGCACATTCCGTGTTCTTTCCCACAGGCTCCGCCTGGCCTTAGAGAGCTGCTTCCTCTGGGGATACTCAGCAGCATTCAGCTGGGAACTGGGTAATGTTGTAGAGGACACAGGGGCTCCCCTGGGCCCACAAGCAGCCGTGGGGCCTGGGAATTTTCTGGAGGGTGGGAACAGGGAAGTGGCAGAGACTGGGATGGGATAGGGGGAGGGAGCCAGGCCTCCCTCACTCTCTTTCTTCCCAGAGATCATCCTAGACTCTACCAGCTTCCGACACTATGGGATAGTGTATGGGTGCCGCTGCCTCGGAGTTCCCTAATCGTTCAAGTCCCTCAGGAGATCTCCAAACCTCTGCCAGGCCCTATATGCAGTTTCTAGGATTCAGGATAGGGAGCCCATAAACTCTTTTCTGGGGAAGACTGGAAGGAAGATACTATCAGCCCTGAAAAAAACAAAGAAAGAAAGAAAAGAAAAGGAAGAAAAAATAGCGTGGAACACTGGACATGCTTTAGAGACCTTTAAGGCTGGCCAGGATCACCTGAGACCAGCAGGGCCACGCTATCCAGATCCAGCTTTATTGCCGGCATCTTGGCTGGGCATCCAGGACAAGTCACCAGACCACTCTGCCTTGGTTTCCCCACCTGTAAGGTGGGGTAGGATTGTATGCATGAGGACGGCTGAGGCTTTCAGAAAGCAGACATTCCTTACTACACAGAAGAAAGCTGCTTGTTGGGCTGCATGATGCCATGGGCCCCTTACCTCATTTCCTTGGGATGAGGGAGGTGGGCACTCCCACAGCATCCCCTACCCACCTGCCACAGCACAAGAACTACAGTGTGGTCCTAAGTTGAACAGCACACAGGAGACATAGTGCAGCACTATCAAGCTGGTGACAGAATTTCCACAGCGACCACTCCAGATTGGATGACCACACAACCCTGTGTCTCTTTCTGCTCATGTGCAAGTTGACCCTAGGAGCTTGGGCATGTATCTGGCTCCCTTGGCCTCTCCATGCTTCTTCCAAATGGTTCCCACTGTGACTGTAGGCAGCCACCATGCCGGTTGCCTGTACTAAAGAGTTCACAGCAATGACTTGGCCTGGAGCTGATGCACAGTTCCAATCCTGGCTGCCCCACCTACCAGCCAGGAACCTTGGTGGGAGCCTGGAGGGGCTCTGAAGTGAGTAGATGTCCCCTGGAACGCATAGTCAACAGCGCTGCCCCCAGGACAGCTCATGCAGCCCAGATTTCAGGGTTGTCTATGAATGACATTTTTACTCCCACCTGCTCACCTCGCAACAAGGCAAGTCCAACCAAGCAGGCAAAAGAACCTCTGTCCAGCTGCCTGGAAACACAGCTCAGAACCTTGGGACACAGGCCTGGGCAGTTGGGTATAGAAAGGACGGTGTGGCTTGGGACTGACGGACAAGATCCAAATCTGTACCGCACAGCTAAGTGGCACTGAAGAAATCACTCCTTGGGTCTCAGTTTCCCCTTTATGAGATGGTGCTGGAACAGTACCTCTAGGAGACTATGAAGGCTGAAGATCCAGCAGGAATGTGGCTGAGGCCGTGGGGTTGACCCTATGGTAGGACAATATGAAAAGGAACAGCTCAAGCAGCCCAGATTTCAGGGTTGTCGGGACCTCTCCAGGACCTGCTCTGGAGGGACCAGCACTTCCACTAACACTTGTAGCCTTGCTGGGAAGCAGGAACTGCCTCTCAGTGGCTTCCCAGAACAGCCAGTGGTGGAGCCTCCTACCTGGCCAGTCCCTGCCCAAGCTGTTTATGGTATGTGCCTGGAGGGTCCTGAAGTGGGAAGATACAGCCTGGGAAGGACAAGTCTACCAGCCTAGTTCCTGCCATTGGCATTTCTGAGCCTGCAGGGTTCCAGACGGCCTTCCCAGCCACTACAGTGAGGGGAGAAAAATTAAGGAAAATTAACTGCTGGGTCTAGAGATGCATCTCCGCTAGTAGAGCACTTCTGTAGCCTGCACAAAGCCCTGGGTTCCGTCCCCAGCACCCATAAACTGGACATGGTGACACATACTTGTAATCTCAGCATTCAGAAGTGGAGGCAGAAGCATCAGAAGTTCAAGGCCATCTTTGGCCATACAGTAAATCTCTAAATAAACAGCTGTGGTACGGGTTCTGTGAATGACATTCCCCACCTCCTTCGATACCACCACACAGACACACCTCAGGGGAGTGGACAGTTTACATGCTTTGAAGGTGAGATGGTGGCTCAGGCCCCTGGGGATAGCCTCTCTCAGCAGTCAGCCCCTCCCCCCTGGCCTAGACCAACTATCAGCTGGCCCCTGGGCGCTGCCCTCCACGCTCCCTAGACCCTTTTCCTGAGGCTCCTGGCAAGGTACCCCAGAGAAAGACTTCCTCATGGGGGCTGCCACAGTGATCTCTACCCTGGGAGACTGCAATCCCATGAGGAAACCTTGCAGACGGGTCAACCAGGGAGCAAAGTGTCTGCAATGGGGTGACAGTCCAGAGGAACTGCCAGGAGGGGGTGAGCTGGAGAGGGAAACAAGGTTCCCAGGGCATGCTGGGAGGTGGATACCCTTCCTGGAGGGAAGGCAGGGAAGGGTAAAGGCAGAGCAGCGGCTCCAGATCTGGGAGGCTGCAGACCAGTTGGAAGCAAGAGACTGGGTGACTCTAAGTCCCCACACTCACTGGCTTTAGACTCCAGTATCCATGTGTGATTTGGGGCAGGTCACGGCACCTCTGCGTACCTGGTCCTCTCTTTGAAATGGGCTTTGAGTGGAATCGGGACCATAAGGTTTCTATGAGGACAAATGAGATCCAGGAAGTGCTGGGAACAGAGTCTGCATGCAAGGAGCATTTGAGGCTCTGAGGCAGATAGATGACCTCTGGCCTCTATGATTCCGGTCCTATTAAAAAGAAAGAAAATTAAGTGTCTGCGGGTCACTAGGCACCAGCAGGGTGCCTTGGATATCATGGTCGTGCAAGTGGTGGCCACTGCAACGTGGTACCGTGGCCCGTGGCACCAGTGTGTCCACCAGTGGTCCAGCACTGAACAAGTATGCTGAGAGGTAACAGCTAGTGCCTAGCCCAGCTGCCTGTGCTGCCTTCATTCAGTTGGCTCTACTTCGTTTGGTACTTGAAGCTCAGGTGAAGCCACTTCTCCTCTGTGAAAGGCTTCAGAGACACAGAGTGTCCCTAGTGTCCTGGGCCTGTGACCAGAGCCAGCCTGGCACTTGAGACATTTGGCCCTGGCGGTACCATCCGAAGCAGCCCTATCTGCCCGAGGGCCCAAGGGCAGACTGGACAGGTGAAGGGCTGCTGAGGACGGACTGCTCCATGCCGAAGCAGCCAGCCACGGTTGCCTTCTTTGGTGGTTGTCACCGGAGACTGGCCATCAGCCCCGCAGCCAGGCCTGGTGTTGATAGGTCCCCACAGCTGCAGCCACACGTGTGCCCAGCCATCAGCCTTTGGACAGTTCAGGGAGGGGAGGGGCCGAGCGCCGGCAGCAGGGGGGCCAGAGGCCACAGCTGGGGGACAGCAGGTGCCGCAGCCTGGGTGGCTGCTGTGTGCCATCTGCTCCTTCTGCCCCTCCTCATGGGTCCAGGAAGATGGGGGCTTCTTGCCTCTTCCTTGCAGACCCAGACACAAGCCATCATGGGCCACTGGGCTTGTCTAAAGTGTCTCTAGGCTTCTCTCCCTTCTGCAGCCAGGAAGGGGGTTAGGTGAGGGCTTCACTGTTTCTGGTCTGCCACCTGGTCAATGTCATTTACTGATCACCCCCCACAGAGGCTGGGCCACCTATGTGTCTGCCAATGATGGGACCCTGAAATGGGGTGCAGGATGGGAAGGGCTGAGGGGTGAGGCCCATAGTTGCCATGATGATGGCCTAGAGACAGGGGGTTCCGAACTGTGTGACTCAGTCTCCTCACTCTTCGTCCCCCTGCCCGTGGAAGATCTGTGGGCCGGCAGGCAGTCACTGGGGCAGAGAGGTCTGCCTTCTGCTCATAGCGGGCAGGAGTCTCCCCTCGCTGGCTCTGGAGAGCTGGCCACATGACAAAGAAGCAACTTACAGAGGTCCACCTGTCCTGTCTGACCACACGTTAAGATGAAAGGGAAGCCCCAGGACTCACTGTCCCCTGCAAAGAATGGCCCAAGCAAGGCTGCCCCTTGGGCTTTGCTTCATGGTCCTGTTCTGGAGCCTTTGGATACCCCGATCCACCTGATACCAGTTCACCCTGCCCATGCTCACCATCTTACCCTCTTCCTACCATCTGACCCTGAGCTGAGCACCTTGATGAGAGCTGGGTCACTGGACTGTGGTTAAGCCTGGATGTCCTGAGCCTGTGGGTCACATTTCAAGGACCAAGCCCTAAGCACCCTGACATCCATAAGCCCCCAATAGGTGTCACAAGGACCATAAGGTGGCTAAAAAGATGGTTCCACACCATGAAGCCAGTTCACTCCCCCACCCCACCCCACCCCCCACACCCCACAGGTCCTAGAGGAGAATCTCAGCTCTGGAAATCTGGGTTCATCACTCCCCATATATCTTACAAATGCAGATCCTCAGGATAAGTCAGGAGAATTGAGATGGGGCCTGGAAACCTGCATGGTGGGCTCCCACACAGACACTAGTCCTGACGAGCCCACCTTTGGCCTGGCTCTATGCTCCACCTGTGCATGGATGCTAGCCACCTGTGAGAACACTTGGGACTCCCACTGGATGAGTGGAGTCAGGAGTCCACCTGGCCAGTGGAAGCTTGCAGGCCCCTGCCCAGGTGCTGGCTCGCCAGCTCTGCCCTCAGCCGCTTCATCTTTCTCTCTCTTTTTCCTTAGCTGACAGGAAGGAGAAGGCTGCAGCAATGCCGGACTCGCCGGCTGAAGTGAAGACGCAGCCCCGGTCCACACCCCCCAGCATGCCACCCCCACCTCCCACCGCATCCCAGGGAGCTACACGACCACCCTCCTTCACACCCCACACACGTGAGTCCCCCCTCGTACTGTCGCAGTACACCGGGGCAGGGAGTGTGGAGTAGGTGGAGCCATTTGAAATTCTGTACTCCACATTTAACATAACATGACCCTGTGGCCCATTGGCAGCCTAATCTTAGGCTCAGATCCCAGCTCCTCCTACTTACTGCGTAACTCTGGCTTAGCTACTTAACCTCTCTGGCCTGGCTTCCTCATTTATAGAGTGGGGGCCTGCTGTGGTTCCTGTCTTACAACCACTGTGAAAATGAAATAAGTTAACAGACATTAGTACCAGCCTACAAGCACTGATGTCTGAAGGCCCCAGGTACTTAGGCTCATCTCAACAGCCCAGAGCAGAGGCCGGAGCACAGCACTCTTAGAGGGGATTCCAGGGAGCCTAGAGCAGTCATGGCAGCTCTCTGCCACAGTTGCCTCTTTTCTTTGAAAGACTGTGACTTAGACTCTCAGGTGCTGAGCAATTGGGAAGACAGAAACTCCTAGGGTTGGGCCACTAAAGGGAACAATGTCTTGTACCCCTCCCCCAAGATAAAGGCTTGGGAGTGTATCCCTAAGTGTTCTGGCAGCACCCCCACAGCAATCTTCAAAGACACATACTTGAAGGACCCTGCCCCAGTCCTCAAACTGGAGCAACAGCCCTCTCTGAGGGAGGGGTCTCAGCACCTCAGCCTGATGTCACCTCGTTTCCAGGGCACAGGTGCTTCCTCTGGTCTTTCCGTCTGTGGACATGGAGCACTGCTGTCTAGAGAAAGGCTGAGATGAGGAGGAGCAGCTCAGCCTGAGGCCAGCCTTGTCCTGTTGACAGGGTGTCAGGTTCCTGCTTTGGGGGTTAATATCATCTGCTTCCAGGTACAGGGGCGTGGAGCCAGGACTGTCTGAGAATGTGCCTGGCACATGGCAGGTGGTCTCATGGCTGAATGCCCATATACACCTTCTAGTCTCTCGGGAGGTTCTGGCTCCCAGTTCCGACAGGATTAACCCGGGGCCCAGTGATGGGTGAGCCTGGAGTGGGGACTCCTAGCTCTACCCCTTGTAGCTGGGACTCTAACCCCTAGCAGCCTGCTGTTCTCAGAGGACAGATGTGCCTGCCAGGCCCTGGATCTGCCTGCTGGCCATGCTCCTCCAGGCCAGAGGTACCTGTGCCTTTTCTCACATTCTTCCTCCCATAGTGACATGGCTTGGCACATAGTCATCTTTCCCTCCTTCCCTAACCATCCTTCCCTCTGGGCTCAGCTGCAGGTAGACTCAGGCTGCTGGGCAGCTTCAAAGCTCATCCAGTGGGTGAGAGGGGACTCGATGGGACTGTGCCGATGTCACCAGCCAATGCCTTAACCTAGGGACAGGAATTATTTGTTGCGGGGGCTGCTGTGCCCCCTCTCCCGGCAGAGAGGCCATGGCACACTTCCTGAAGCAATGGTCCTCCAGATGTTTGGGGACCCCCAAGCACGAAGGAAGAACAGAGCAGCTGACAGGCTGATCTTGGACTCTAATCTGTCACCGACCGTGAGGGTGCACCTCCCCCAGTCTGCATTCCCTGTGGACCAGTTCTTATCCCGAAAGCTGGCCTGGACACCAGATGTTCCTGGTTAGGAGGGAGGATGGGATCAGCTGGGACCTTCAGGGCTTTACTTTCATGGGGCCTGTAAACAGATGTGAGGGTGGCCAGTGCATGTGTGGTGCATGGGGAGGAGCTGTGTCCCTCCTGCCCCTCAGTCCTGCCCTGGGGGTCAAAACTGTGTCTAGAGAGCACAGAGCCTTCATTCCAGTCTGTGGGGCTTCAGACCTGTGAGGCTAGTTGGTGCATAAGTCTGAGGCTCAGGCCTCCTGAGGTCACCTCAGGTTTGTTCCTAATCCACATGGTTAACCACACCCCTGCACCTGGCTGGTGGCAGTCCTGGTAAAGCCTCAGCAGCCAGCTGCAGATTCCTACCCAGTGCTTCAAGCCAAATGAAGAGACTGACCTTGAACCTCTACTTGAGGGCTGTGGTTTTCCTGGCCCAGTGACCACCCTGGGCACAGATTGGTCTCTGGCTGGGGAGATGGGCCAGAGGCTGAGTGTGGAGACCTAGGACAGTACAAGAAGCACTGACCCAGACTACATGCCTCTCAGGCAGGGAACTCCTAGGTGGGTTGAGCTCCCATCTGCCCTTGCATGCTTCTGAGACAGGGGGCTCACTACCCCTGGAGCTACTGCCCTGTCTCCACTGACAACCTCACCGAAATTAACTCAGAAATGAATCTCAGTGACTGAAAACACACAACTTGGGCCCCAAGTCGCTTAAGGACAATGCTGAGGGACTGACCAGGCACTTTCTGGGGAGATAGCTTTTAGGAGGTAGGTGCTGCTCATGCTGACAGATACCCAGTACAACCGTTATTTTGCAGAGGAGGAAACTGAGGCCCAGAGGAGTGGACTGGCCCCCAGTGGCAACAGCATGGTCTCTAGGACTGCCACTAAGCAGCAGAGGGGACGGGCCGCTGAGGCGCCCTCCTGACAGCGTGTTCTTCTTATTTTGCTTACAGATGGCGAGGATGGACCTGCGACGTCTCTGCCCCATGGCCGTTTCCACGGCTGCTTAAAGTGGTCCATGGTCTGTCTCTGTAAGTAAAATAACAAGAACCATGGGCTTCAAGGAGGCCTCCTGGGTCCTTCTCGCTGCCTCTACACCCCCTTTGTTGGATCTCGAGCCACCTTAAAGACAAGAGAGGCCCAGGGGCCTAAGGGCTAGAGACTGAGACCCTCAGACATTGTGCTGGAACTGTGGGATCTTTGCATGTGAATGCCTATTGAGCTGACTGGAGCAGATGCCAGGACTATGAGAAGACAGTGGGGACATGTGTTAATGGCAAACCAAGCTCCACTGTTTCAAGAGACTCTGGCTCTCACTGTTGACAGGGTAACCATGGGCAGGTATGGTTGCCTGTGCCTCAGCTTCCCTACCTATAAAGAGATGCTGCCACAGTCTAGAGAGCTGAAGGTGATTCATGCTCCATGCTGGCAAAGCCTTGCTGCCATGTCTGACCCACATCACAAGCCCTGTGGGCATCAGTCACCGGTGGATGATTCCACCAAAGCTCCCGGTGATATTCATGAAGAATACTTACCCCCCATGATCAGGTGTTACTGTGCCTCAGCGGTCTTAACCGGGCCAATTAGCTGCACCTCCCAGGTGTGTGCAGCTGCCATGGAATTTCTGGGCTCTAAGAATAAGGAAGAGGTTACATGTGTTATTTATGTTCTAAGTTGTCCTTCTTGCTGCCATCATTCTGTGCCATGCTTGGCCACACACTAGAGCCTGGCACACAGCCTGACTGGCCCTCAACTGTTGACTGAGTCTTGTTGTGGTGCTAATGGTGTTCTCCTTGTCAGGCAGAAAGAGTGGAAGAACTGTTAATAGGGTCCGTGAGCTGCAGGCCAACTCCCACCCAAGCATCAAGGCTAGGGGAGCTGTGGGGTGCTAGTTTGTGCCCCCAAACATCAGCCGAGGACACGTGTGCTGTCTAACTTAGTAACACACCTGTTGTGGTAATGAAAACACTTGTGCTGGGGGCTATTTTTGGCGTCTCTTTAGCTGCTGAGACTGCCCGGCAGCCGCGGGAGGGAAGACAGACAGGCAGTGAGGCGAACAGGCCACGGGGGACCCAGGCGCTCAGAGCAAGGCTGGTAAGCGGGCCTCAGCAAGGACAGGACCAGGTCAGGCTGGTGGTGGTGGGTGGTGGACTAGATAATGTGGACATTGGCATGTCTCAGAAACTACTAAAAGGCCCAGAGCCCTGGTGGTAAAATGCTTGGGTCTTAAGACACAAGTTCACCTCTATTAGTGAGGTCTCCGTGGCAACCAGCCATCTCCTGGTCGGGTTGAGGTGACAGCAAGTGACTGTGCTTAGGTTTGACCGGGGCATGTGTGTCGGTAGCTGTCAGAGCTTACTAGTGAGAGGGAAGTCCACCCAGTGGGGTCCTCTGGAGATGGTGTTAGAGAGGCTAAGGACCCAGAGATGTTGGTATGCTGTGTGCAGACATCACTGACCACCCCAGAGCAAGAAGGGTGCTCCCACGCACAGACTTACACTGGCTGCTTCTACTAACATAGTCATTCTGGAACGGACTGTGTATCCTAGGCCCTGGAATGGACTCTTGAAATCATTTGGGGAAACAACTGGAAAGGCTTCAGCTTCCATGTGCATACCCCCTACTAGGACAGAGGAGCTGCTTAGAACTGTGTGCAGTGTTCCATGACCGCTGGCAGCCTAAACACACCAAGGTGGCATGTGAGCCCGCGTGCCTCTCCCCACATGCTGAAATGTCTGTTCCTTAGGGTCAGCTGTCAAGGGGTACCTCACATAACACCCAACATGTAGAGTCTGTTAGGGTTGTGATCTCATGAGGCCAGCTGCCAGATCAATTGGTGGCATACGCAGGCTCCATAAGCCATGGGTTCAGGAACAAGGAAGATGACTAATCTCTGACCCTGGAGCCCACCTCAGAACTTCGGAGTGGCTTGGGACCATTGGCAGATAGATCTAGGTCTGGCCTACATTGGACATCTGGACTGGTGTTGCTTCCCCAACCCTCAAGGGTTTATGATATGGGGGTGTCTGAGGACCTGTGAGAGTCCTTGTATCAGGGGACTGGAGGTGAGGATAGAGGAATGGGGAAGGGTGTGCTCCGAGGGGACTACAACAGCAGCCGCACCCACATGACACCATAGCAGCTCTGGGCTGGGTCCTGCCTTACACTCACGTAGAAGGTAGGGGTCAGCCCTAGGAGCAGACAGCTGGGGGCCACCAGCTGGGTCTATCCATGAACTGTTTATCCCAGGGCCTTAGTGGCCCTGTCTCCCTTGTGGATCTAGAACATGTTGTGTGGAGCCACCAGCCCTGGCCCCAGGTGGTTTATCTGGGCTGAAGCCTCAGGCAGTTTCTGGGCAACATAGAGCTGGTCACTGCACTCATTAGCAAGAGAGGGCTATGTGGGGCCCACAGAGGGGACAGGAACCCCAAGACTGGCAGAGTAGGATTAGGTCCCCTGTCCTGTAGTGTGAGCAGAGGTGTGACAGGATCCTTCAAGAGCCATAGCGGCCAAAAGATTTGAGGGCCAGGAAGGAGGGACTTAGGTAAAGGCTCCACCTCATCTTTCCATGCCCAGGCCATAGGCCTCTCCTAGGGCTTGGGTCAAGATGTCCAGGCAGGTGTAGTCTAGAGTGCCTTGCTAAGGTACCCATTGCCTGAAGCAAGGAGATACCCCAGGGGAACTCAGCTGGAGTCTCTGCGCTGGGCAAGCCTGGACGGACGGATCTTTAGCACTTACAGCCCCACCAGGCCTCACCACAGGTGGAATTGAGACAACAGGAGCTTTGGGAACTGTGGTCTTGAGGGTACCCCAGACCTACGCTGTCAGCACAGCCCTGAGAACCTGGCTTCTGCATACTCGGTCAAGGCAGGAGACAGTGGTGCATCCCTAAGGTCAGGGGGCATAAGACACAGAAAAAAACAACAGTTGAGTGAGCCAGAGGTGTATGAACATGTGTCCATACCTAGAGGTAGCATTCATGACCTGTGAACTTTGACCTGTCTGCAGAGTCTGCTAATCATACCTTTGTCACTCAGGGCTGATAGACAAGGACTCTGTGGCAGCCTCTGGCCTTGGCCCTGGTACTCCGAGTTGATGGTAGGGCCATCCAGTCAGCCATGGCTCAGTGATTGGCAGCCGTGATCCTGTAGCATGCTTATCCGCTGTGTCCTTAGTCACCTGATTGTCCTCAGCATGAACCATCCCCTGGACACAGCCTTCTGTGTCAAAATCCCCTGAAGAATCCAACCAGCTCCTCCTGGGGGTCTCAGTCGCTCTGCCTGATCTTGAGTCCCATCCGCTCAAGCACTGGGCTACTTGCCGGCAATGGTGTTACTCAGGCTTAGAGAGGCCTGGGGTCCTCAAGTTTTGGAAGGCTCCCAGGACAGTGCTCAGGGCTAAGGAGAGTTGGGGCATTGCTTAGAGGTGGGAAAGAGATTCGGTAGAGGGTGTTGCTTGAGGCTGTTACAGCAGAGGCAGAGTTGCTGGCCTTTTCTTGGGTTAATGGGGGTGACTTCTCATTTGCCGTACCGTGGGTGAAGAGGCCCCATGCTTGCTCACGGTGGAAACCTGAGCCAGTCTGGTAGGATGGACTGGGCATCTGCTGCATGTGGAGGACCTAGAATATCGGCTGGTGTGAAGGCCTTGACCTCAGGCCCAGGGTAAGCCCCCAGGGACAGTGTAAGCCAGCCCCACAAACATCTGTCTCTGAAGCTACTTCCAGGGTGTGATCCCTACCATCCTCCTGGCTGGGGTATGTGAGGTGAAGGGAGTCACCTCCCCAGGAGCAGTTCGCATATCTGTAAGAGTGTAACCCCCATGAGCACAGAATGGTTGCAAGGACAGAATGGCAGCTGTGTAGGGTACTGGGCACAGCTGCTCTGGACTCTGCTGTCGTCATCATTGTCATCTGGGTCACTGCTGTCACTGTTACATATGTACTTATAAAGTATAATCATTATGCCTTGCCCTCACACTCACCCTTCTCCTGCAGTGATGAACGGCAGCAGCCACTCACCTACGGCCATCCATGGTGCGCCATCTACACCCAATGGCTTCAGCAATGGCCCAGCCACCTCATCTACTGCCTCGCTGTCTACACAACACCTGCCCCCAGCATGTGGGGCACGGCAGCTCAGCAAGCTCAAACGTTTCCTCACCACCCTGCAGCAGTTCGGCAGTGACATCTCACCCGAGATTGGGGAGCGTGTTCGCACACTGGTGCTGGGGCTGGTGGTGAGTCTTATCAGGTGGTGAGGTTATCAGGCTCCTGTGTTCCCCATGATAACCACTCTGCCACCTGCTCCACCATGACGTCCACCACTCCATTATGCTCTGCTCATCCCTCAGGCCAGACCCAGAGCCTCCTCCTTCCCAGGGTGGGAGTGGGGCAGCTGGTTCAGACAGTGCATGGGAACCTTTCAATAGGGTGGTCTCTCCTGCAGAACTCAACTCTGACGATTGAAGAATTTCATTCCAAGCTCCAAGAAGCCACCAACTTCCCATTGCGGCCATTCGTCATCCCCTTTCTGAAGGTAACCAAATCCTTCCGAGCTGGGGCCTCTCGGAGAGGCCCCAGTCCTCAATCCCCCTCCCTACCAAGCGTCATTCTCAGCTGCCCAGGGAAATGGTGCTGACCACCAGATCCGACTAGTTAGGGCTGTAACTAGTTGCTAGACCTCATGAGTCAGAATACACAAAAAGCAGCGTATTCTTATCCCTCAGCAGATTTTTGAGTTGCCCACTCCATGCCAGGGGCTGTGCAGGGGCTCAGAGGATCGCATGAACAGGCAGGCAAAGAACCCTAAAGCAATAACCTCGTGGGAAGAGAGTGCTATCGACCAGGTGTAGAATTTGGAAGTGCATACAGTGGGGAAATAGTCCCAAATCTCTCAAGGATGAGTATTTCATGGTGACTGAGACGGCTGGAGAAGGCTTGGGCAGCACCCTCCAAGAAACAGGGCTAGTCTATACGAAGGCCCCGGGGAAGGAGGAAAAGCAACTGTCCATATGGCTGGAACAGAGTGCAGGAACAGGTGTGCAGAGGGCAGTGACCGGGTGATGGACAGGCAGGCATGTGACTGCACAGCAGGGTGATGGGGTGGTCAGATGGAAGACGCTGTGCTAAACACTGACCCAAGCTTGGGACTGGGGCCACACGAATGGGTGGTGACACCGCACTGGGTCCCTCTGGCAGAGTAACCAGAGCCCCCTAGCAAGGCAGATTCCTCACCCCAGCCTGAACCCTCAGATGAGAAGCTACATTTGTTTGGGGGTGGGGTGGGTTGGTTTTTGTTCGGTTGGGTTTGGGGGTCTTGTTGCTTCAGTGCTGGGGTTGAACACAGTCTTGTACGTGCACGTGTTCTACTGCTGAGCTACAGCGCTAGTCCTTTCTAATTTTGAGACAGGGTCTCACTAAGTTACCCAGGCTGGCCTTGAACTCTTTATCCTCCTGTCTCAGCATCCAGTAGTTGGGATTGCGGGTGTGCACTACCAGGCTTAGTGAGATGCCAGATTTTTTTTTCAAGACAGGGTTTCTCCGTGTAGTTTTGGTGCCTGTCCTGGATCTCGCTCTGTAGCCCAGGCTGGCCTCAAACTCACAAAGATACGCCTGGCTCTGCCTCCCGAGTGC